CTTTTATTTAAGTTACAACGTTGACAATTAAGTCATATTTTTTACTGGTTGTCTGCGGATTCTCTCTTTATTGTAGAGTATTTATGAATTCATGGCGTTTACTACAGAGGCTGAGGGAAAGTGTTCAGGAAAGGACATATAGGACCTACTTTATTTGACAATTTGATCACTTCCTCCACAGTTTAACTGCAATCCTGACCGGTGCAACCCAATATCTGTTAACGCGTCACGTTGGTGTGTCCGTCTGTAACGTTAACAAACTACGTTAAAATACTTTAATACCCCTAAAATAAAGTTATAAAAAAAAAAAATAAATACTTTAATACATTCACTTTTATGGCTAATATATAAATGTTTTTCATGAGTATTTTTTAATTTTAAAGTCCAATTACTGTTTTACATGATTTAGTGACCATATTGTGGTGTGTAATTTGATGTAGAGTGATTTATTGAGCATATTTGATTTACCTCGATCGTTTGTTAGTTTGCTTAAACAGCAATCGGTTAAATTATTTTAGTATTATTTTACTGTTTTTGGATCTGACTGCAATAGACCATATTCTTTTGTAACTTCTACATTTATTTCATTTATAGTTAACAGCTGTAGTCAGTCTGCTGTTATCATGTCCCAGTTTAACGTCTTCTTTTAATATTTGTATTTAAACATTAAAATGTTCCCGGTTTGTGTCTCCAGTGGAAATAAGCGGATCCAGCCTGCAGACAGCGGCCGACTGAGACTCACTATAAGCCCGCAGAGGGGCTCACTGATGTCTGACAGAGGGGGTATCGACTGGAGACTTACAGAAAAACGAGGTAACTACCTTCAAAATATTAGATTTTAATCAGGTCAAAGAAGTGACTTTGAAAATTAATTGTTTTTATCCCTCCAAGTTGTTTTTACAAAGATATAAAAAGGCTAATTTTGTCAGCTGGCTCCAGAAAATGTATGTGATTTATTTTGGTCTTATCCCCACTCTTTACACTGAAACCTTAACTGGAGACTCACACAAGGACAGCTGCATGTATGTTAACCCCTCGGCTTTATTGTTCCCCATTTCAACAGTTTCCTGCACAAGGTTCCTCCTACAATATTTAACCTAATACTACAGAGGAGACCTGTATGCTTTTGCTGTGGACTTTTAACATAAAATAAATCACTCAAATAATCATGGTCAGAGAAAACGAAATAAATTAACAAGATAACATTTTATTCCTTTATTTTGAAAAATGTAAACAACAGTGGCTCATTGTCTATAATTCTCACTATAAGAATTACAGTGCTCACATGTATTGATCCAGTCCTACTCTAACCTACATATTCCAAACACTGAGACAAGTGCAGCTCATTTATAATGAACTTAATTACAGTTTCTATCTCTGGTCATAGAGGTCCACCCATTTGTGGTGAGAGCAGCTGCCGGCCAGTGGACGATTCCTGGACGACTGCAGGCCAGACTTTACAGATACAAGATAAACTGACAAAGACAGATGGAGACAAGGACTATTTATACTAGGTGTAAGTGAAAACAGGTGAAAACAATCAGGGGCGGGGCAGACAATTACAAAGGCGACAGAACAATGATATATGAAAGATATCATAAAGACGACATTATGTACAATATGTTATTTATTTTAAATGAAAGATGTACAGTTTGTGCAGGAATGTTTACAAGATCACAGTATAAAGAATAAAGAATATTTGCCATGTGCAATAGTAGATTTATATGACTGTAACCTGTATTAATCTTTTATTTAAGTTACAACATTGGATAATTAAGTCATATTTTTTACTGGTTGTCTGCAGATTCTCTCTTTATTGTAGAGTATTTATGAATTCATGGCGTTTACTACAGAGGCTGAGGGAAACTTTTTAGGAAAGGACATATAGGACCTACTTTATTTGACAATTTGATCACTTCCTCCACAGTTTGGCCAAAATGTACAGTAATGAAAAAAATAACTTAATAATTGGTGGTAAAATGTTGTCATTTTAATTCATATAGCTATAATATATATATATATATATATATATATTTCATTTTATTTTATTAAAATTTTTTATATTTATATATAGCAGATTAAAAGATTAAACTTGCTATTACCGCTGTTCATGTTTTATATTTTACCATTCTTGTGCAACGGGCGCCATCTTGTGGAGCCCCTGCAATCCTGACCGGTGCAACCC